TAATGGAATTTCACCAACTTCACTATATAGTACGATTCACTATACGGTAGGTTCACTATATCGAAAGTCGACTGTATATGTATACAACAAACAAAAATTATGCTAGTACTAAAGTGTATGATTATTAAGTAAATACAGTCGTTGCATAATATTTGATCAATGAATAAACATGCTGTTGCAAAGTTTTTGTTCCATTTGCAAATTAGTCATTTTTTCAATTGTGATTCTTGATTCCCTTTAAGCAAGTTTATGTCGCAAACAAAGTAGTCTATCTATCTATATACAACAAACAAAAATTACGATAGTATTGAAGTGTATGATTATTAAGTAAATACAGTTGTCACATAATAAAAATCACATTTGATCAATGGATGAATGTGCCATTGCAAAGTTTTTGTTCTGTTTGTGAATTAGTCATTTTTTTTTCAATTGTGATCCTTCTTCCCTTTAAGTGAGTTAGTTATTTTTTTGATTGATATATAAACTGTTCGATTGAAGAAAATTCTTTGATAAAATGATAAATAAAAATAACACAATAACACTTTGGCTTATCTTTTCTTTATCTTTGACTTTCTTTTTTCCTGAAAAAAAGATTAATGTCCAGAGGACCACTTCATACTTCAATATTAATGGTATCCCAGCATCAAGGTGCCAGTTTCCCATCCAGAATGCGTTTGCACTTACCATTCACAAGACTCAGGGCCTCACATTACTGCACTCAACTTTGACTATCAACGAAAATATGTTTGCTGCCAGTCAGATCTATGTGGCAATGAGCAGGGCCCCTTCCTGGGACTCGGTGGATATACTGTCCTTCAACTTTGACTGCTTGAAAGTGGACATCAATGTCATGAGTGAGTATAGGAGATTAAATTCCTTAAATCAAAAAGGTTTAAAAGAAATGTAAAAACCTTGAATGAATTTTTAACAATGAAGGATCTGATAGTTTCTGTTGTGAAATTAATTTTCAATTTAAATCTAATTGATGTGTTTAGATTTTTTTGTTCAATAAAATAAATAAAATTTTTTGCTCATTAACAAAAAAAAACTGTCAACACTTAATTTAATTTTTTGAAATCATGGAATTACACCATTTCCCACTTTCCACAACCAGATCCAGAAAATCAACCCAAGCAATCCAGTGACAATATCTCATTTCTTTCCAGTACTCAAACTGAAGTGAAATCCCTTTACAGAACTCTTTTGCATTAACCCTCCACAAGACTTGACATTGCCACATGTCACCTTGACCATAGATCAAAATAAGTTTGCTCTTGGTTGGTTCTATGTGGTGATGAGTCAATCTCCTTTCTATGGACATTTTTGATTTCAGCTTTGATTCCTTGAAGGTAGGTAGGAACATTGATAAATGAATACAAGGGATTGAAATTGTTAAACAAAAGGGTCAATGGAGATGAGTCAACGCTAATTCAGTTTTTTGTAATAGTAAATAGATGTTGAAAACATTTGTCAAAAGCATTTTTTGTTGAAATTAGACTATTTTGTATATCATTTTTTACTATAGTGATAAAATAATATAGTTAATGTTAAAAAATTAGACTGTTTTGTATACATTGTATCACCATGATAACACATGCAGCTTCAACTTTTTTATTATAAAGCATATGAAAGTAAAAACTGCATAAAAGTTAAAACCTTAATATTAATCTAGTATATAATAAACATCTCTACTTCTTTGTACGTGTGCATTAGGCTATTAATAGATTACTTTGTACATATGGTGCAAGTCACTTAGTCCAATCAAAAATGCAATAAAATTTTATAGTCACATGATTTTTATTAAATAAATTTGTTTGATTTTTTCATACATTGTTCAGCATAGTGGACACTGTTGCAGATCACAAAAAATGATCAACATAACACATGTTATGGTGAAAGTTCTTGCAAAAGTTTGATTATAAAAGTGTGAGATAATTTTGATCTTGCTGATGATCTGGACTTAGAGAGGCTACAGCTATATTCTAGTGAAGTTTCAGAAGCAAAGGGCTCTGTGTAACCGCCTGCCTATTATACAAATGACTGTTGCACAAAATGAGTGTCCATTATGCTACATTGTTCATGATTCCTCTCGATCGTGTATCTTAATTTGGCTGCGTTTACGATCATTTAGTTGACATTCATTATGTTAAGGTTATTTTGATTATATTGAGAGATATGGTCAAGAGAAGAGTTAGGAAGAGAGTTATTCTTCAACCAAGTCAAAAACCAACCCTTTAAATACATTTTCGAGTAGTACAATTTTTAATTTATTAGACTGTTTCTTTCAATGGTTCGTCATGTGGTTGCTTCCAACTTCTTAGATTCATTAAAATGAATCAAACCCATATTAATATTTATATATTTCTACGTTATCAAATTCATGATTTTGATTGGTCAATCACTAAATTGCGTGGGTTAAAATTTTGTGTTCCCAGAACAGTCTCTCCTGCTCACTTGCACATCCTTGATTACAAAACTTGTTTTATATAGAGGTAATTCTATATATCACTTAAGATAACAAATGGGATATTATAAAACTGATAAATATAATCACATTACAAATGACTAAATTTTGATCCCTGAAATTCTTGGTCTGGTTTTGTTGCAGTATGCCCCATATAAGGCACTGGTGTCCAAATGTGATAATCTCAATATTAATAATGTTGGTGAATATGTGAAGAACATAGAGGATGCATCACAACAATGCCTAAATTACATTTTGGAATTATATAATGAAGTTAGAAATTTTGTTGGGAACAAAAAGCTGGCAAAATTACCTTCCTTTGTTACACAAAATATTTGAAGAAAATAATAATATTAAAGGGTTGAGAATATTTGATATTGTCCCTCAATTTAGCTTTCATATAAGTTATATGCCCTTTGATACAAATGCACTTACAAAATCTTAAAATCAATTGGTTATCCTCTTGTAAGAGGGATAAATGAAACACAATTTGGGGATAATGCCAATTATTATTGGAGCCAGATATTTGATATCAACAAGTATGCAAATAGATTCAGATTTTTTGTTGAGACTGACTTGGTTGGTATCAGTACATCAATCTTCAAATATAGAAAGAAAAATACAAAGGATGAGTTCATTGAGGATAATTGTGGAATAACTAATATTTTTGGAAAAGAGGTAATTGGGAGGAAAGATTTATTTGTTGCTGTTGATAATAAAGAAAGAGTTGCTCATTATGGGACAAAGAAGTATAGAGATATGGCCAGATTTGTGAAAAATAGGAGGAAAATAAAGAGATGGCTTAATCAAGTAAGCTTTTAGCATCTTTACTATTTGTTAGATCAAAGTTATTGATTTTATTTGTATTCATTATAGAATCAAAATATCAAAAATTTACAAAATGTTCTACCTACATCATGTGTACCCGCCAAGACCAACTTCTTAAATCATATTCAATTTATTTTAATGCATTATCATACCTTCCAATCTTTTTATGGTGCACTTTGGTTTTGCAAAATAAAATTTGATAATTATGTTTGCAAGCAACAAGCACTTTCTAAAATGTGTCAACAGATCATTGGTAAACCACAAGACTGGCATTATTCTGATGTAGTTGTGGCTTATAGATCTGGTGGATTCTTCTCTTCTTCTCCTGGTTATGCTTCAGGGCCAAAAAAACAGTTATACCAAAAGTTGAAAAGAAGATGCACCATTCAATTGGTAAATGAATTTAAAACAAGCCAGGTATGTTAAATGATTCTTATATCTGTTTTAATGCAATATGTCTCACTCACCTTTATATTTACAGATTTGCTCAAAGTGCAAAAATCCTTTCCAAAATCTTCAAAAAATATATTCATTAAAAGTATGCAGAGTTTGCAGTAATGGCAATGGAATGTTATGAATAAGGATGTGAATGCTGCAAGAAATATAAAAGATATTTATAAATTTATGTGTAAAAATGGAGGGGAATGACCTTCACAATTTGTTAGGTCATAATTTACATTATTAACTTATGGACCTTGTGGGGATTTCCTAGAAGCAATGGTCAACCCAGCAGCACAATGTATATATACTTAACTGTATGTGTACATGGGACAGTTCTGACTTATCAGTTCTGTAAAGTGTAATGGGCTAGTTTTAACTCAATCTTTGATCTTATTTGATTTTAATATTAACTAGAAATGGAAAATACTAATAATTTCAAATTTATCTTGTCACTTGTTAGTAATTAAGGAAATTAATTTTTGTGTAATAAAAATTGTGATACAAAATTACTAAAATTCTTTTCTATGACTATTACTATTACTATACATAATTTTGATCTTCACCAAATTTCTGAAATTACAATTACGTTATTTTCCAAAATGTCCCAATGGTTGCCAGGTGAGTCGCAATCATCACTAAAAGATTATTTATACTCGGTCATAAAATACAAGCCTGTTGTCTTGCAGAGTACTTTCTAAACTCAGGATTTTTAGAATTTTTGTCAAAACAAAATAAAAAAAATCCATCTGTTTTTAAATATATATATTGTCTGAGATTTGCATTTCAGGACAAATATATACCCTTCAATATATATATATTTTAAAAGACCAAATTTTGAGTATAAGCTTAAAATCCTATAGTTTCACAAGAGAGAAAGCATTTCCTCAATCATGAATTTTGTTTTCGTGAGCAGGTCATTTCCCTCCTTCACAACAACCTTCGTTTCCAAATTTTCCAGGACCACCATCGGTTCCTCCAAATCAATATATACCACCACCAACATATCAAAGACCTTCAATTCCTCCACAATCACAACCTCCAATTGATGATTTATCTTTGGCATTCGATAATCTTGCAATGACTTTAAGAGCCACAGCTGGTCCACAAGAATTGGATGATTTTCAATTGTCTCTTGGAATGCTTATGCATGATTGTTCTCAATCTAACATTCAGGCATATATGATTTTTTTTTAATATATTGAAATTTTGCAATTTTACAAATATTAATGTCTCAACTTTTAATTTTTATATAGCGTGGCAAAACATGGATATTTGAACATTGTAAAACTTCTAATCATTATGATGTATTAATGAGATTTATCATTGCTCTTTCAAGATCTCGACCAATATTTCAAGATAAACTTCATTTAATATATCTTGTAAATGATGTTATTTATCATAGGTAATAAATGAATATTTAAATATATATATATTATATACTACAATTAATTTTTTAAAACATTATAATTTAAAACTTTTTTTTTCACTTTAATATAAGTGAGCGTAGACAAGAATTTTGGGTTAAAGATGCACTTTATCTACATTTGCTCCCTTTACTAAGAGCTGCATTCCATTTCATGGAAGCAAATGAAAAACAACAAGAAAAAGTTCTTAAAGTAATTAATCAATCAATCTATTATATTATATTATATTATATTATATTATATTATATTATATATTATATATATATATATATAAGATATTTTCCCGGAAGATCATCTTTTCATTAACAAATAAACGGCTTTCCTGAAGAAATTTTCGAAATTATATTATTAATTATTAAAAAAATTGTTTGTTTTTTGATTTAATTTAGATAATTTCTATCTGGAGTGATAAACAATTTTTTGATGAGTTTAAAATTAATTCATTACAAGCTGGTGTAATGGTCCCCCCTCCTCCACCGGGAGGACCTCCTCCTTCGCCATTTAGTAGTGGTTTTGGACATACACACTATCAAAATCAACAAGGTGTTCCACCTTATTATAATCAAGGACCACCTCCACCACCAGGTTTATTTTCTGGACCTCCACCACCTCCACCACTACCACCACCTCCACCACCACCGCCATCAACTTCTTCTTCAAATTCACATTTAATTCCTCCTGGCGCACCTTCTCATACCAGACCATTATCTGAACCAGCTCCATTAAGTATACCTAATCAATTTTCACCGCCTCCTGGTATTCCAATGCAAGGGCTTGTTCCAAGGCCTAACACCCCTAACATTTCCAATGTATCACAACCAATACTTACAGTGCCAGAAAAAAAATATCATGAATTACCAGCTGGACTAATAGTTCCTGTTGTTTCGGTATGAGTCAGAAAATATGTTAACAGTTAAATCAACTGTTTTTTATCATTTCTTATTTTTTACTTATTTACTAGCTTTTTTAGCCTGAGAATCCTCCATATACACCTATACATGCTGCCTCCATCAGACTTCCACCACACCGTCTTCCACCAACTCAAGAATTATTGGATGCAGTAGATAAATTTTATGATGGAATGAATATAATTGAGTCAACTGGTGATAGTGAGGATGAGGGCCTAGTGCCAGGGATTAATACAATACCAGAGAAGAGCAAGATTCAATTAGATAAGGATGGATGGGAATTTGGATTCTTGGATGATTATTATAAAGAACTTGAAATTCGCAGATCTGCTAATACATCAAGAACTACCTCTGGAAGGTATTATACTCGATCTTCATATAATAGACGTCTGGATGACAGAGGAGGAAGGTGGTCAAGAGATAATAATCATAACAGAAGTTATTCTTCAAGGTCACGCTCATTATCAATATCAAGATCTCAATCAAGAAGACATAAAAGAAGATACAATTATTCAGATTCTTCTAGAAGTAGATCAAGAGGTCGTCGTAGATATCGAAGAAGGAATAGTAGAAGTCGTAGTATAACACGATCTAGATCCAATTCCAGACGTAGATATAAGAGTAATAGTCGATCTAGACACAGTTGGAGGAAAAGGTCAAGATCACATAGATCATATTCAAGAACAAGGTCAAGATCACATTCACAAAGTTCATCCAGATCAAGAATTAGATCTAGAACTCGCACCCGCTCACGTTCAAGATCAAGAACTAGAACCAGGTCCGGATCCGGGTCTATATCTAGGTCTAGATCCAAAACAAGATCAACAACCAGATCCAATTCTCGAACTAGATCAAATTCAAGAAGTAAGTCAAGATCATTATCTAGATCTAAATCCAGATCAAGATCGTATAGTCCAAGTAGAAGTAGAAGTAGAAGTTATAGTCATGATAGACACAAGTCTAGTGAGTATAGTTCATCGTCGCGTAAACAACATCACAGTAAATCATATAGCAAGTCTGTTTCAAGGTCTCCTACATATAATGGAGTTGGTTTGGGTTATGTTAAAGAACGTGACGAAGGAGCTAGAACAGATAAAATGATATCTGATCATAATGTTGGATTCCAAATTTTGAAGAAATTAGGCAAGTTAATTTATTTATTTGTATTCTTTAAAGAAAGATTAATAATCAAACAATTAAATATCAAAATAGGATGGGAAGGTGCAGGAACAGGATTAGGTTCATCAATGGCTGGTATTGCAGAACCAATAAAAGGCGGAGAATTAAGAACTGGGGAACAAAAATATTTAGGTGTTGGGCATGGCCATGATGAAGAAGGTGATATCTTTGATCAATATCGTAAACAAAAAAGTTACACTTATCAAAGAAGTGATGGTAATTCAAAAGATAAAAAGCCAGCTGGATGCTTTAGATGTGGCAAGGTAATAAATAAATAATCATATAAATTATACTGATTGACATATTAATAAATAGACACATTAGTTAACCAATTAATTTTTATAGCCTGGTCATATTGCAAGAGAATGTCAAGAAATTGGGTCTTTTCATTAATTAATTAATTAATTAAAAAATATTATATTAAAAAAGAAATTTTTGATTTAATTTAAATAGGACTTTGCTTCTTATCATTAGACTTTATTATAATATTTAAAAATTTTATACTACATATAAATGATCAAAAAATTTTCCTCTATTTAAATAATTAAATGTATATATAGATAAAATTATAATATCTTATAATATATGTTATATTAAATACATTATAATCATTATAATCATTTATTTTATGGTAAATCAACTTTTTTTTTGTTTTGTTTCACAAAAAGAACATAACCAATAAACTGTGAATGTGTTGTCCTGTACTGTAACATTGTATTGCGTGCAACATGTTGTAACGCAAATTGGTCTATAAAAGATTGTGCTGAATAAATAGGAAGTTAAAATGTATTTAGTATATAATGGATTATCAAAATTAAATAACATCAATAATAATAAGATTTCATATATGGAGAGCGAGGACTCCGGAAACTACAGAACTGCAAATATAAATTTTGATAATTTTTCTTTTTTTTTTTTTTTTCTTACGATGAGGCCACATAACAATTTATTCTCTATATAACAAACCATTTGGTTTAGTATCAGTATTAATATTAGGGTAAAATGTCATTTACAGAGAGGATCCGTTATAGACAGTAATAATTTATAGGTGGGACATATAAAATTGGGCTTAAACTCAGTCCGTTATAGAGCAAGATCCGTGAGAGAAGTGAATTGCACATGAGTCGCATGAGAAAAATAGAATTTATCACGGAACTAACTTTTCACCATTACCTACTAAACCAGGCCCAAAAGGGATTAAGATTTAATGCTTGGTATTCAAACATAGGTAAAATAAAAGGTTATAAAATTCACATGATGCAATTGCATATTTCAAACCATTTGATAAATTGTTTGTATCTTTATTTTAATTTTCTTTCTTATATAGTAATGTTTTAGGGGATTTTCTAATTGGATCACTTCTTCACATCTGGGTTTCCGAATACATTTCATATAAGTCCAACCTTTTTTTTTAACATGTTCTAGCATTTCACTGCAAAATAGGGTTTCTATTTGAATAAGGTTCACTCAAATGATTCAAATGATCTGTGATTGATTTTGAGCATTTGAATCACATTGAATGATTATTCAAACCAAATGAATTCCTTGTGTAGCAAATTTAAAGCTTCACTCAGAAGTTAATGATTTAGATGAATATGATAGTTATGATGATGATTTTGAAAATGATTCAGAATCTAATAAAAAAGAAAAGTTGAAAAAAAAGGAAAAAACAATAAAGTCATGTCAGCAGGATTTCTATTTGAATAAAACAAATTACTATTACTATCGCAAAGCAGTCTTTGTAGGACAAGCAATTCTAAAAAAAGATCTCATGCAAAACATTTTGATCTTTGTGAATAGACTGAACAAGAACAGAGTATGTGGACATCCAATATGATATAGTATAACCCTTGCAGATTGTATTGTATAAGTGTTAATAAAATGGTTATATATCATACCACACCAATGCTTAAATTCAATACAAAGGATTCAGTATAAAGTTCTGTGATTAGTATGGGCAATACAATACCATCTACAAGGATTATACCTACTGAATCTCTCCATAATCTACATCCTCCACTTTCATAATGAAAATAACAATAATGATAATAATTGCAGGTGGTAAATATGTTTGCTATTTTTTTAAAATATACTTATAAATAAATAAATATTCATTAAACTTCACTTTTTTTTAATTCTTTTTTAATTCTTTTTTTAAATTCTTTTTTAATCCCTTTTTGAGTCCCTCTTTGAATTGTATGTCCAAGTCTTTTTTTGGATCCTCTTTTAAAGAAACAATTTTATTAAACACATAACTATTCTTCTTGCTATCACCATCCAGAATCTTTATCAAGACAAAATAACCAACACAAATAGCTTGAAATTGAACATTCTCATAATTTTTTTTAGAATAGTCAAATGATGATAGTGATGATCTGGTAATAATTTCTTTTAATCCAACTTCTGCTAATGAATTAGTAGCAATTTCTAAGCTATTTGGATTTATATCTGCCAAGAAACCATTTGGATTCCCATCTGGATTTTCTGATATGAAAAAATTATTATATATTCAAACTTCTGATAATCAAATTGGAGATTGATGATTTTTATTAGTGGTAGTTGTGATGGTGGTAGGTGTTTCTGCTACTCAATGGATATATGTTTTAGGTTTTTTAACTGTTATATATTTCCATTTGTGTTCTTTTTTAATCCTGTGCATGTGATCCAATGTGGAACATGTAATAAACCTACTGTTTTACCAATTGCAAGACAATAATAATCTGGTGAATCTTCTTCTCTAAAATTATCTTTTTCAATATAAGTTACTTTACTAAATGGTACTACATGCTATATAAATAAATTATTTATTTGTTTATTATTAATATATCATCCATCATGCACATGTTGAAAAATTTTTTTGTAATAATTAAAGATTCTCTCTTTATATATGAAATAGTTACCTCTCTCATAAATGTCTCTCTTGGTTTGAAAGGAACAGTCAACTCTTTGACATAATCATCAGGTAGATTTTCAATTATTACTTTAATAGGATCTATATATGGGGCATGCTGCAACAAAACCAGACAAAGTGAACATTTGTATTACAGGGATCAACAATGTTTGTTTAACATCACAATATAATGTGATCATGATATTTGTCTAGACAAAAATAGTTAATATGAAGTTAATTTACATTAGGTCTACTATGGAACCCAAGAATTACAGCACCATTAGAAGTATTTTGAAGAAAGAACAAGGTGAAAAATTGCTCCTTATATCTTCAAAATAAATGATACTCGGATACTAGAAACTTATCTAAAAAAGAAAAGGATTACTTATGAAATTTACCAAGAAGAAAGAAAAATAATAAATGTTAGAAAAAGAAAGCAGACTGGAGGTGCATTGTTACCTAACAAAAAGCAGAAATCCTTAGAAGGAAAATAATTTTATTATTATGATATTGATTTACTGACTATTACTACAGAGAAAATTCTAGCATAGATAAAAATCCTATCATTGGCTATTATTGTATCACAAAAAAACAAGCGAAATTAACCAATAAAAATCATGCACGCAACATTTCAATTTTTTTAAATTTATTTTTGAAATAAATAATCGTTTATTTTTATTATTTAAAGATTTCTTCTAATTCAGCTTCTAATTTATTTGTGTGTTCTTCCAATTTTTCCAATTTTTCAATTAAGTTTTCATATTTCTCTT